TACATACATACGTAATCATACGTACACACGCACGCGCGCGCGCACACACACACATATTATATATATATATATATGCATGCTCGCTTTTTCAACACAGGTTCGGTCCTTAAAGTGGAGCCCAATCACACCATCATTGTTTTGAGATGTTTGCCACCTTGACTCTTCATCCATGAGTCGTCGAGCCATTCGATTCCCGCGAAGGCTCCTGCGAAGGCACCATCGGCATTGCGGGAGCCCGAATTGCATGCCGGTTCCGCCACAGGAGATTGTGGAGCTTCCTGGAAGGGAGCTGAGGCCGGGGTCTCCTTCTGCCACCGAGGCCTGTCGGCCAGCCGATAGGCGAGGAGGCGGGAGCCTGCGGGAGCTCTGGGGGAGCTTCGGAGGTGTTCTTCCTGCTTGGGTCACGTCTTTCGAAGTGGACGCCGATGGCCTGCAAGAGCGCCTGCACAGACCTCTCGCCAGAGGGGCCAAGCAACGGTCGAGTTTCGGGTTCGCTTCAGCGCGGTGCCGGCGGCACCAGATGCTCTCAGCACGAAGATCAAAACCCGCGGCCCGTGGTTCTTCGCAGGAGCACGGTAGCACGAAAAGCCTCAAGCTACGATCGTGTTGGTTGTCTGCTCACAGGCGAAGGCAATCAGCCCGGGAGCGCGAGAGGCCGAGAGAGAGTCACGGAATCGTTCTGAATGCTCTGAGCGGAGTGGGCCGTGCGGTGTTTGGGATGAACAGCAGCTGGAATCCGCGGCAGAACAGAGAGGCGACTGCATTTGGCATCAGAGTTGCGAGACCGAGACGTCCCTGTGCATCAGCATCTCGAAGAGCCTCTAGAATCCAGAGCTCTGATAGGTCTCCGCCCTACCTGTAAGGAGCTTTATTTGGGAGCTGAAAGACCCGAGCCCACGAAGCCAAGCCTGGGATCGGAGGCCCTGGAGCCACAAGCTTGAGGGCCCTTTATGTTGAGCCTGCGAGCAGAGAGACTTAAGAAAGACCGCCCGATGGGCCTTGGACCAAGACACGCGGAAGGCGAAACCGCGCAGCCCCGAATCCGGTGGTTACGAGGCTCTGCTGCCTTTCTCTCTGTCTCTCTGTGTCTGCGCGTGCTTGTCAATATGTTAGGCATCTTGCATGTCACTTCATCTTGCTGTTCCGATTCCTGCTTCAGACTGGTGCCACCACTGACTCGAGCCATTTCTGCCGCCGCTGCTCGCACTCGCGGTTCAGCTGTCCGAAGCCGGAACAGCGGACATCATACATTTGTGGTACATTAGCCGCTGCACCGGAAAGCCCTCAGCCTCAGCCTGAATGTCTCCATCCAGAAGTTTCAATGTCTCACTACGAAGAGGCCACAGCAACATTGTCAAAGGTCCATTTTGGGTAGTGGCTTCGGAGCCTGCTGAGGATCCTTGTGCCGGCAGGAGTTGAGTCCAAGCTCCCTCTCTTGGGGCCCAGGGCTTTCACACCCCCCCCCCCTTACCCGGCTTTTGGGAACGGGAGGCCTCGCGGTCCGCGGCCAGCGCCAGCTGCCAGGAGCCACCCAAGGCACGCTGGCCCGGGAGGGAGAGGGCAGGGGTCTGGGGCAGAGGCGGCTTGGGGGCATCGGCCTCGCCTCTGAGGCGCCGCAGCCGGAGCGCCTCCGTGCGGCCGAGGACGGCGAAGCGGAGGGGCGCTAGAGAATCTCAGAGGCTTTTTGAGGTTTCGGAGCTCCGGGCGCGAGAGGCCGACGAGGTGAGGCTTCAGGCCGAGGCTTCAAAAGCCGCCACAGCTTCGGCACTTCGCCGGAGGAGCGGGCCGCTCGCGCCGAGCAGCTGCTAGAGGCTGCGGTGGCGCGCGAGGCGGGAGGTCGAGCTCGAAATGACCGTTAGAAACAAACCCGTTCCCTTTCAGCACAAGTGGGAGCCGACAACACCCCGGGGCTCAAAGACAGAATTGGCTTTGCACCTCGTCTACCCCCTCTCTGGCCCGAACCCGGGCGTGCCTGAGGCGGTGTCGGCCTCGGAGCGCCTCACGCTGCGGAAGCAGCTGGACCGCGGCGCCAAGTTGCAAAGGCGCAGGCAGTGAGAGCGTTTTCTGCAGGACGACGCAGAGCAGCTGGTTTCTGGCCTCTCCCAGCAGCTGGACAGACCGGTCCCCAGAGAAAGGCGTTGCACCGAACGTTCCCACTCCCCCATGGCTCTCTCAGATTCTCTCAGTCTCTCGGCTGGGGCCCTTTGTCCCCTTCGGTCTCCTCGCTCTCAGGTGTCCAGCAGGAGGTCGCTGAGCAAAGGCAGCGCTGCGAGGCGACGTGAAGAGTCGAGGGCAGCTCCACGGCCAAGGGCCTTCCAAGCCAGGTTTGGGGTGCCTTGGACCCTGTGTCTATCAATCGGTCATGCATGACGTTGGGTCTCTGTCTTGAGGTTCACGAGGGCTCGGTTTGGAGCTGATGTTTGCGGCCTCCTTCACCAAGTTTAGGAGAAAGCCAGAACCTCGCGCGTTCCACATCCCCCCGTAAAAAGAAACCGGCAGAATGCTAGCCCAGGGCCATGCTGAAACCCAGAAGCTGACAGAACGCCCTGCCGGAGATCACCCTAAGCTTTCATCCCCGAGCACCTAAAGTAAGAACCCTCCAAAAAGCGTCCCAAACACCCAAAAGCGCCGGGAGAAGCAGAAGTTTCTCTCCTTGGGTTTGCCTTTGGAGGCTCTGGAGAAGCAGCTCCAGGAGGCCTGCCCCCCCCCCCCCCCAACAGAGAAGCGCGTGCGTTTCTAAAAAGTCGGCCTGGGGTCCATTCCGACAGGCCCGAGCTGTGCCGAACGCCTCCCCGGGCGAGGGCCAAGGCAGAGATGGGGAGGTTTGGGCAGGCGGCCGAAGGCGGCCGAGAGTCCAAGGAAGAGGTTGTTATTCGAGAGCTCCGGGGCACGTCCGGCAAAGAAGGACGCAAGTTGCCCGTCTCTTTCTTGCGCTTCTTGTCACGGGGCGCCTTTGTTGTGGGACTTTGTGTCATCGCTGGGTCTATCTGCTGCAGTGCTACAGGTCCAGGTCAGCCCTGGAGTCTTGCACGTTGACCAGATGTCCGGGACACAAGAACTCCTTCATTAAGTCTTCATTTATGCTTTTAAAAGCGGCCCTGTTTGATCCCTTTGCCTGTGCAGATGTGGCCCTGGAGCTGATGCAGCGCATCGCGCAGCTCGAGGCCAGCGGTTGCGGGGATTCCGCCAGGTTTCGAAGGGGGGAGACGCTACGACGATGCCAGAGGCCGCTCTCGGGAAGGACGGCAACTTCGACGCCACGGCGCGCCCGGGAGCGGCCTGGGAGTCCTGACAACATGTGCAAGCGTAGTTACTGGTATCAGATCCTCTGTGCCACTGTTTTGCATTCTCCTGCATGAGTCCTGCATGCCTCCATGAGGTTGTCAGCGTCTCAGTGTGGTATGGTAGTAGAATCACATTGCAGCAGCAAATGAGCATGTTGGTATGTACATCTACTACACAGTATGCCGTTCCAGCTTACACGTTTACCAAAAGAAGTTTGCTTGCCTTTTTGAAGGTAATGGATGGCATGCTTCGTCTTCTTTTTGTTTTTTTTGTCAGGCACAAGTGGTGAGATGACTCCTGGAGAGGCCACCGTGGGGGTTGCTCCGGGTGCAGCCAAGTCACCTCAGCCCTTGCAAGCAGCCACAAAAAGGCTAAGGGAGCGGGTGTGGTTATCTCATAGTTGCCGCAGCATGAGCTCTGTAGCCTGTTCTCTATTCCTGAGCTGGAGTCACATGGAGTACAGCGATATGCTTTATCTTCAACACCAGCAGCAACAAACCGCCACACCACAAGCAGACGCTCGAAAGAAAGAGCCACGACGTCGTCGGCGACGCCAAGAAGCACGAAAACCCCCTGCATTCAGAGAAGCGCACCAAGGAACTCGGGCTCCAGGTTTGGGACCGCTCCTAAAATTTCTTGGGGCCTCGGAGACCCTGCCGGGGCTGTGCCCTAAACCCTCAACCCTCGACAACACGCAGACAAGCAGATGCGGTGCTTAGTAATTCAGGGGGCCTTCGTTCCCGAGGCATCGGCAACCAGCAACCACTGCTGGGAGGCCGCCGCATCTGGAGTGGGATCCAGGGTCAAAATTCAGTGACCAGGAGCCTCTCTTGGATTGATACTCCGTTCCTAGCATGCTGTGATCAGTCTTTGACCCTGGATCAGCTGTGGGCCAAACAAAACCGAAGCAATGGTGTGCTCCGGGTTTTTGGGTCCGGGGAGCGCATCTCAGTTTAAGCTTCGTTTTCAGGCCCCGGGGGGCCACGCTTCCGGCCCAGAGCCACTAGACGAGCAGCGCATCGCTGCAGAGTCTTCGTTGCGGGGTCGAAGTTTAGTAGGTCATGCGCAGTTTTTTTTCGTTTGTTGGACCGCAATTTCCGTGTTTCGATCAACAGAATGGCTTGACAGGTGGGGTTTCAGGGTCTCTAGGTGCAGTGGCCGTGGTTGAAGTGTTGAAGGCTTCTTTGTGTCTTCGACCCTTCCGCAGATCCCAGCTCGGCCCTTGCTCGCCTGTGTCGCGACGGGAGCGTGGGCTCTCGGGACGCGGCCAGAGCCAGGGGTGCCTTCCCGAAGCGTGGGGGCCTGTAAGAACTTCGTGAATAAAGCACGTTTTCGACATCTCCTTTCTCGCTGTTCTGGGCCTCCACGCACGGGTGCACCGCGTCTCACTTGCCGCTGTACAAAATCCCAGGATGCGGCCTAGTGGAGCATTGAGACTCTACAAAGACCTTCTACGTACATTGGCTTGTTCGGTTCGGACCCATCCAGCTTTCACCACGCAAACTGTTGACCCGGTAACAGGTGGTTTGGGGTGGCTTTGCAATGCTTTCAAGAATCTCATGAAGCTTCATGTAAAAAGCCCTGGCCCGCCGAAGTCATCCGTTGAAAAAGACAGGTGATCTTTGTGTTGTCGGCATATGTCGGCTTTCGCCTTTGTGTTCTTGGCTTGCTTCTGTCGCACATATGCCGCATGCTTACATGTCCACTCCATGTTCTGTGTGGTCAAACTGTTCGGACCACATCTGCTTGCCTTTCTTGTGGTCACATAACTGGCGAATCGTTCCAGATCTTCCTCTTTCCCAAAATGCGTTCGGTCCCACTGCGCTCTGGCAGAACGTCTGAAGCTCCTGATTGCACAGCCTATCACTGGGAGAACCATCCAAAACACCAAAGGATTGCGATTCGTCGTGACTGCCTTCTTCCAAAAGCGATGAACAGTGCACGTTCCCCAATTCTCGTCCCGGCTGCGCAGTGCAGCACTCGCAGCACTCGCAGCGCTCGGGGGCAAGCACGGCAAGCAGGTCTCAGGCACTGTTGGAAGCTGACACCGCGGCGTGAAAGGCTCGAAGATGACTGGCAAGAGCGCACACCCAAGTTCTCCCATACCAGATGGATGGCAGCATCGATGGGCGCTGGATCACACACACACACACACACGTGCAAAGCGAAGCGTCAACAGCTTTGCCCGTGGAGGCGGTTATGTAAAATCGGGAGTTCGTGGCTGGAGGCAAACCTGCCCCGAGTGGCAAAATTGAATGTGCAGCCTGAGCCCTGAATGCGCCGAGACGCCAACAAGCCAAACGCCAAAAGCCGACATCAAACCAGAGAAGAACAGCCAAAAGCGCTTTCTAACTGAGCTTTGTGAGTTTTCAGAAGCGTTGTCCCATGTTGTCCCTTTCACCTGTACTTGCTTACCTCCTCGAGGCTTGGGAGGGCCCGGGTGTCCAATCCAGCTCGACCATGCCGCGGGTCGACATAAAGATATTCAAGAGTTCAAGATCTCTCCAAGGTGCACTTCATTGCAGTTTCGCTAGTGTTTCTTATAGCGGATTCCCACGTCGATCTCTCGAGGTCGCAGGGCAACAGTATAAGTATTGTCACAATCGTTATTCGTGTCATGATTTGTTGGTGTTTTTGCGCTTGCTCCACCGCAACCGGCAGCAGCAGCAGCAGCAGCAGCAGCAGCCGGAGCCGCAGCAATTTTGCAATTGGACGCGGTGCGAGCGGGCTCAGCACTTGGCGGGCAATTACCGCCTTTGCACTCTCTTGTGAAACCACTGGCTATTGATGTTCAAGACATGATAACCTACAGGAACTGAGGAAGTCAGCCGCTCAGAATATATACAGCTTGTGTAGGCTGCTCAGAAGGTACCGGAATGACAGCTGCATGGCGGCAGCAGATGACGGATGGAATTCAGCCACTGACAAACTGAAGTTGCAGAGCGAGCTTTACGCACTGGCGGGTTAGTGCGCGTACCTCAGGAAGAAAGGCGCAGAGTGGCTAGAAAGGTTGGCCGAGCCACTGGTGCAACTCTGACTTGACTTGGCCCGAGGCCCCGGCCCTAGGCCCCAAGACTGCCTATCTACCAGTGCCAGGAACTCGACGAGGAGGTCCAGTCGGAAGATTGCCACCACGAGCGATCGTCCCACTGCGGGCGGGAACGAGCAGCCTCATCCTTTTGTCTCTTATCAGAGACCGGGCCATGGCCCTCCGAATGCCTTTTGTCAGGGCGCAGCAACTTATGCTTGGCCGGGGTGTCGCCCACCCTATGATCAATACGCAGCTTGCGGACCGTTTCCCCATCATTCGGCATGTAGATGATGAGCCGGTTGATAAGTCCACACGACCTGCATGTTTGGTCATAAATGGCTTTAATTGTGGACGCTACAATTTCAAAATTGTCATCGGTTTCGAGGGTGTCGTGCATCTCAGCCTGGTCCCAAAGTCGCTTGAATAAAGCGCTGATGATGCCGAAAAAACCAGTGATCTTGGGCAGGACGCGGTAGTTGGCTCCCTCTCCCAGAGCGATAGTCAGCAGACCATCCGTGCCCATGGCCGGGCGAGCAGTCATTGCTTCTGCCCGGGTTGTGCCCTGATCGGTCTCCACCAGGTTCAGCGGGGCAAAGATCCAGGGAGGCTTCTTGAGGATGCGAATTCTGTCTTGCCACATCCTCAGCTGCTCTGACACCTTTAGGCCGCCAATAACGGCCTTTTCGCAGATGTGTTTGGCGTAAGCAGAGAGCCCGTGAACCGTGGCGAGTGATTGCAGGCGCAAACACATGTGTGTTACAGACACAAGGAATGCGCGTGGTCATTCATTCGGTGGCTTTGGTTGTTCCGTTTGTGAGTACATGAACAAGTTTCATTTTGCCCATCGTGTTTCGCTTGCAGTGCTTTGGCAAATTCTCTGGCGTGTGATTCCACGCGGATGTGTTTTGCGGCAACACGGAATCTGTGGTCACGGCTCCGGCTTGTGGCGGTCTTTTAATAACGTGGCTTGTCGGTTCATGTTTTGTGATGGTTCCGGTTGGGTTTGTCAGTGGTGTCTGGTGATCCAGACATGTGTGTTGCGAATGGTGGTGGTGCTAGGATTGAGCACGTGTCATCTCACACACATAGGGGTGGCCTGCGCTGCACTGTGGAGAGAATCCGTTTTCAGTGATTTTGGACCCACATATGTGTTGCAGAAGCCAGGAATCCGTGGTCATGCTTCCGTTGCCTGGGTCGTTTTCTGATTGCAGTACTCATTTGGTGATGTCCGTGCACATGTGATTTCACACGCATGTGTGTTGCTGAAACAGGCAGACATGTGTATTGCTGGAAGGGGTGCTGTCGTGACTTGGCTGCGTGTCGTGTCTTCGCGCGCACGCACACACGCGCACCTAGCCGCTAGATTGCTAGATTGCGGCATAACCAGGGAAGCCCAGTTCAGTGTGCACATACACATGTGTGTTGCAGAAACAAGGAATCTGTGGTCACGCTTCCGGTTGCCTTGATTCTGTTCNNGCCGCCCGTGTGCAGACAAGAATTCGCCGTCATGGTTCCGTGTAGTTACACAGACACGTGTGTTGCGGAAAGGGTTGAAAGGGGTGTTGTTGTTGTGATTGTGGTGCGTGTCGTTTTATCCACAAGTGTGTGGCAGCAGCAGAGCTCCCGTGGTCAATGATGGCGCGTACACCCCTGTTTGTTCCGTGTGTTGCAAAAGCCAGCCCCGAGTGTAAGTGATTTGTGCATATGCGCTTGTTCGCATTTCAGAAGCAAGGCATCCGTGGTCGCGGTTCCGGTCTTGGATGTTTTTTTTCCCCACACACTTTTTTGCTGTTTCCGCGGTCCTAGTGCAGGTCGCCCAAGACCAAGGCCAGACTACGCGGGCATGTCAGGGCATGCGGCTGGCAAAAGGAGGGGAGGCCGATGGTTCGGCGAGAAGGTCGCTGAGGAGCGGAGGATCTCCGTCGACATTGGCTGCCCCGGAGAGCGGCAGGGAAAGGAGGCTGGTCGCGAAGGCACGGGCAGCAACGAAGGCGAGCAGGGCGGACCACCGA